AAGATGTCAAGGTTCTGTTGGCCCTGAAGACCGTGAGATGGGAAGCCTTGTGATTGGCTCTGGGGCATTCCAGAATTCATCCTTGGCACAAAAATTCAGCTGGATGCTCTCTTGAGAGTCCTGTTCAAGTAAGCTTCCATCCCACTGAGTACAGTTTCAAGCTGTTTCAAGGATTCTTCTGAAAAAAAAAACTGATGCCATCTGGTGCCGTTGCTACACAAAAAGGCTACACAAAAAGGCGGCCCAGTCACGTAGCACGTCCCCATCGCCCATGCCCATGAGGCGCTTGAGGTTGTGGGATCCTAAATCTCACGTGGGGATGGGGACCGATGGGGACTATTGGACCATGTTGACCATGTTGACCATGTTTGCCATTTTGAGATATTTTGGGAAATTTGGGGATGCCTAAATCCGCCCACACCGCTTTGGCGGTGAAGGCGTGCTTATTGGGGGGCAAAACAGCAACACTAAATGCTCAATGACATTTGTTAATATAGCAGTCGCTATATCAGCTTTAGCTGGGGGGGGGGCAAAAACGGTTTCGCACCGAGACCAGAATACGGTGGTGTTTTCGACATTTTTCGAGGATTTTTGGGTGTCTGAGCGCAAGAGGGTATTGAAATGGAATTTTTGGTCATTTTGGTAGCTTTCCGGCAATGGAAAAACGGCCAAAAATGAAAAAAACATTGTACATAGCAAGATTTTGCAGGGTTTTTGGATGCCAGAGCATTGAAAACACTGCAAAAACAAGTGTTTTGGACTGACGTTATAGCAAAAAACGTGTAAGTTACCGTATGCTTGACTGGAAACATTATAAAAACACTGTTAAAAGCAATGTTTTGGAAGGATTTACTGCCTTTATGGCAAAAAACGTGTAAATTACCGTCTGTTTGACTGGAAACATTGGAAAAACACTGTCAAAAACAATGTTTTGGAAGGATTATATATATATATGTTGGAGTTGGCTACCGGCATTGGAACATGGAAAAATTGAAGAAATCACTGTAAATAGCGGTATTTTCAACGGTTGGGGAGATAAGGGAATTGGAAGCATTGTCGAACATGATGTTTTCGACCGGTTTTATGGCGACAAAAGTGTAAAGTACCGTGCTTTGAAGGAAACCATTGCAAAAACATGGAAACACATTCAAAGAACACGGGATTTGGGGGACTATCTAGGCGTCGTTGTCTAGCTATTTGAAATTCCGCAGCTTGGAGAGCCTCCAAGGGAGGGAAAAGTGACAATTCCATAGCTTGGGAAGCTGTCACGGCGGGGAAAAGAGAAAATTCCCTAGCTTGGGAAGCCCCCACGGGGGGGAAAAGTGAAAATTCCCTAGCTTGGGGAGCCCCCACGGGGGGGAAAAGTGAAAATTCCCTAGCTTGGGGAGCCCCCACGGGGGGGAAAAGTGAAAATTCCCTAGCTTGGGGAGCCCCCACGGGGGGGAAAAGTAAAATTCCCTAGCTTGGGGAGCCCCCACGGGGGGGGAAAGTTAAAATTCTTAGCTTGGGGAGCCCCCACGGGGGAAAACCACCCTTAGCCCCTCTCACGGACCGAAATAAACCTGCGGTGTGGGCGGCCACCCCACGCGAAGCGGGGTGAATAACCAGCTATTTTGGGCACCAGTTGCTGTCAAGGCTCTGTTGGCCTGAAGCCATGAAGTGTGGACTTGGCATTGCTCCAGACATCCTTGGGAAATGCAAAATGCCACTGATGATCTGTCCCTGTGGCTAAACTCACACAATGCACTCCGAATTCCACCTCAAATTCAAAATCCTTTTTGCCAAAATCAAGAATATCCTTCACAGTTCACGGCGACGCCCATGGAATTTTGTCGCAAGCTATGATGCCCTGGAGGGTCTAACCATGTGCAACAATGTTGAAGATCACCACACTTTTTGTTTGCTGCAATTTTCTTCAAGCCAAGGTTCATGTGGTTTGGAGGTTGCGCTGCTTGCCCTGGTTGTCCTGGTTGCCCTGGTTGCCCTTGCGACATTGGAGGCCTAAGACAGTCGTATGGCCGTCAAACCCCCAATGCCACTCTAATCTATGGGCAAGAACTGAATAATGTTTTCTCAGAGCTCAACCGGTTGTCACAAAAAAAACTTAGCAATGTTAAGGAAAGTCCGTTTCGCATGCACAGCATCAAGACGGAAGGCAACGTCTTGACTCTTTTCAGGAGTTAAACCATATAAGACCCATTGTTCCAAAAGCGCGACAACTCACAGAGCAATCTGGCTTCAAGTCTCCAAATTCTCCAATATGTTGACTGCGCAACATTCAGCAAAGCTACTGGTTCTGCGGCTGACCAGCTGCCACATTTGGCGGAAGACTGTTCATCCTGAATCAGAGGTTCGACATTCTGGTTGACACTGGTGACAAAACGTCTCTGCTGTATAGTTTAAGCATTTTTGATATATTTTTGACACCTTCACTGACCTAATTATGGCGCCCTGAAGAATGTAATCATGTGCAACAATGTTGAAGATCACCACACTTGTTCCCGAGAGCGTCTGAGCGCAGGGTTCTTCCAATAGTGGGGGTCTGTATCTCATCTTCTCATCTTCACACCTTCTCTCACACCTTCTCATCTTCACATCTGCTCATCTTCTCATCTTCTCATCTTCACATCTTCTCATCTTCATCATCTTCACACCTTCTCATCTTCACATCTTCTGTCTCTCTCACTCTCTCTCCTCTTTTCTCTCTCCTTTCTCTCTCCCTTTTCTCTCGCTCGCCTTCTTTATCTTTCTCTCTTTAGGCCGAGGGTGGTGGGGAGTCACGAAACGTGAACCCTTTCGCACGAAATGAGGTTCAATCGGCAAAAACTGAGGTAAAATTGCGATTTTACGTGCTCCGGAGCAACCGTTTCGCAGGAAATGAGGTTCGATCGTCAAAAACTGAGGTAAAATTGCGATTTTACGTGCCCCGGAGCAACCCTTTCGCACGAAATGAGGTTCGATCATCAAAAACTGAGTCAGAGGTAAAATTGCGATTTTACGTGCCCCGGAGCAACCCTTTCGCACGAAATGAGGTTCGATCGTCAAAAACTGAGGTAAAATTGCGATTTTACGTGCCCCGGAGCAACCCTTTCGCACGAAATGAGGGTCGATCGGCGAATAAAATTGCGATTTTACTTGTCCCGGAGCAACCCTTTCGCACGAAATGAGTGTCGATCGTCAAAAACTAAGGTAAAATTGCGATTTTACTTGTCCCGGAGCATCTGTGTAAAAGTGTTTGCGTGTAAGAGCTTCTGTGTGTAAAAGTGTTTGTGTGTAAATGGGTTTGTGTGTACGAGTGTTTCTGTGTAAAGATGTTTGTGTAAAAGTGCATCTGTGTAAAAGTGTTTGTGTGTGTAAAACCTTCTGTGTGTAAAAGTCTTTGTGTGTAAACGGGTTTGTGTGTACGAGTGTTTCGTGTAAAGATGTTTGTGTGTAAAAGTGTTTGTGTAAAATTGCATCTGTGTAAAAGTGTTTGTGTGTAAAAGTTTCTGTGTGTAAAAGTGTTTGTGTGTAAACGGGTTTGTGTGTAGGAGTGTTTCGGTGTAAAGATGTTTGTGTGTAAAAGTGTTTGTGTAAAAGCATCTGTGTAAAAGTGTCTGTGTGTAAAAGCTTCTGTGTGTAAAAGTGTTTCTGTGTAAACGGGTTTGTGTGTAAGAGTGCTTCTGTGTAAAGATGTTTGTGTGTAACAGTGTTTGTGTGTAAAAGTTTCTGTGTGTAAAAGCTTCTGTGTGTAAAAGTGTTTCTGTGTAAACGGGTTTGTGTGTAAGAGTGCTTCTGTGTAAAGATGTTTGTGTGTAAAAGTGTTTGTGTGTAAAAGTGTTTGTGTGTAAAAGTGAATCTGTGTAAAAGCTTTTGTGTGTAAAAGTGTCTGTGTGTAAAAGGGTTTGTGTGTTAAAGCGTCTCTGTGTAAAATGGTGTGAGTGCAGAAGGGTTTCTGTGTAAAAGGTGTTTCTGTGTGACAACGGCAATGTGTGTGTGTAAAAGCGGCTTTGCTTACAAGTTTTGTTTTCTTGCCCCGTTGATTGTTTGGCATGTTTGTTTTCCGGTCATCCCTGTCATGTTCAGGCCTTGCTGGCAAGCCCTAAGCAGTCCTGACTTGTTTGCTTGGCATGTTTAGTAGGCATGCTTAATTTTACCCTGAAAGAGATATGAATGGATTAATGAGGTTACATTGGGATTCACTGATTTTTTGGTTGTGGAGTTTGTGGAGTTTGTAAGAGCTTCTGTGGGTAAAAGCTTTGTGTGTAAAAGTGTCTGTGTAAAAGCGTCTGTGTGTAAAAGCTTCTGTGTGTAAAAGCTTTTGTGTGTACAAGCGTCTGTGCGTAAAAGGGTCTGTGTGTGAAAGTGTCTGTCTGTAAAAGCTCCTGTGTGTGAAAGCTTTTGTGTGTAAAAGCTTCTGTGTGTAAAAGCTTCTGTGTGTAAAAGTGTTTGCGATGCAAACTATTGTCCTGCACTTCTGCTATTTTGTCTTAATACTCCTCTTCTCGACTGCCTATAACACATCTTTAATATATTGTTTCTAATATGGTGTCTCCATACTAACAAGAGAAGACCTGCTCCTCTACGCTCTCGGGCCATCCGTCGTCTAGTTGTTTGCTGCAATTTTCTTCAAGCCAAGGTTCATGTAGTTTGGAGGTTGCCCTTGGGACATTGGAGGCCTAAGACAGTCGTATAGCCGTCAAACCCCCAATGCCACTCTAATCTATGGGCAAGAACTGAATAATGTTTTCTCAGAGCTCAACCGGTTGTCACAAAAGACTTGGCAATGTTAAGGAAAGTCCGTTTCGCATGCACAGCATCAAGACGGAAGGCAACGTCTTGACTCTTTTCAGGAGTTAAACCATATAAGACCCATTGTTCCAAAAGCGCGACAACTCACAGAGCAATCTGGCTTCAAGTCTCCAAATTCTCCAATATGTTGACTGCGCAACATTCAGCAAAGCTACTGGTTCTGCGGCTGACCAGCTGCCACATTTGGCGGGGGACTGTTCATCCTGAATCAGAGGTTCGACATTCTGGTTGGCACTGCTGACAAAACGTCTCTGCTGTATAGTTTAAGCATTTTTTAAACAATGTTTTTGTTGCTGCAATTTTCTTCAAGCCAAGGTTCATGTAGTTTGGAGGTTGCGCTGCTTGCCCTGGTTGTCCTGGTTGCCCTGGTTGCCCTTGCGACATTGGAGGCCTAAGATAGCAGCATCACCAACAGCTCGCCTATATACTTTGCTAAGAGAACTCAAATCTTGTGACAACTGATAGCACTGAGGGAAACAAGAGAGAGAGAGAGATAAGTAGAGAGATAATATTAGATAGTATATCAATAGATCGATGTATATTTTGCCGACGTGCATGTGCAGATCAATCATCAGCTTCACTGCATCTTGGTTGCTGGTTCGCACCAGGGAAGCCTTGCGAGTGGTTTGGAGCCATCCCGGTAGTCCTCAGCACAGTGAATTCTGTGCAAATCAAATCGGACAAAGTGATTGAAATTGCTGCCAACTGAATTTGTCTCCTGGCTGCAACTCAGGGTTGCAACATGTTGGGAACATGTTGCAACACTGATTTCCTGTATTTTCCTGTGGCATGCGCAGCCGAAGTTCCCATAGCCTTGTACCCCTTGCTGACTCGTCGCGTCCATCGTAGGCCTCCCAGACGACAGAAAATTGTGTTTCTGCTGCCCAAAACTGCAACAACCCCTGTGCCATTCATCTCCAAGGTGGGTGTGTTGTAGCGTTTGCAAGCTGTCATGCTTAATGTGTGCAGTGGATTATCAGTGGATTGCAAATGCTACTGTCAAACGTTCAATAGTTCTCTTCTGAATTCAATGAACAATATTGAATGATTAATTAAGAACAATGAACAAGGCAAATAGTATGAAATCGAAGTGTTCCAAAGGTCAAGGAACATCTTGTTTAAGATTCAAGACGACACCTACGAGTACCATGTTGTTAAAGCTGTATCTGTGAATCATTGACCGATCATTGAGGTCTGTGCGAGCCTTTTGTTGGGAATCGGAATTAGTGGGCCTACCTTTGGGTAATTAGTAGATCCACTTGTTGGTAATTGGTGGGCCCTCAACTTGTAATCTTGTCCGCCTAATATTTTTGGGTCGAGAAAACACGGTTGGGCACCATTAAAGATTATAATCTAGAAAGCCCTCAAAAGAACTCGCAATGCAGAGCCCTACAAATCTCCAAGGGTAAAATTTCTGAGCCTCGAATCAGGAATTGTTTGGACCCTTGATCATCTTGATCGAGGGAAATTGATGGAAAATCCCAAATCATATCAACACATTCAAGGCGTTCCTCCCACGAATGCAGCCGGGCAACTGAGGCGCGGGAAAACCCTGCGAATGATTTGAAGTCATTCCATTCATCCTCAGCTGTAGACCGATTCGGTGTGGCATCCAAATTGGCCAATGAACGGCTCATACGACACCGCTTCCATATTGGCACAAATTCAGATGGCCAACCATCTGCTGCAACCATTGACGTCATATTGTTCAATTTGGATGTCATGTTCCGTCGCTCGATTGCCTGCCTCATGCACTGATGCGCCTTTCGAGCCCTGTTGTATCCAATTCAAAGACTTGGTTAGTGCAGTCCAAACTGCAGCTGGTTCTGTTAATTGCTTGGATTGGAAGTCATAAGTAGTCATAAGTGTCACTTCCCAAGAGCAGCAAGCTTGGTGTGTTCATTTTCATATCACACTACTAGTACTACTTGTGCTATGTCCTACTTCAACTCCTACGGTCCTACATCCTTCGGTGGACTCTTGTGAAAACCATCTGCTGAGATGCCCAGGAAATTGGTGATTCATTGGCATTCCATTGGTCCTGAGTCAGACTCTGTGGCCGCAACAACAGAATCTGTTCAACCGCTGCCCACATGCAACCTACCTTACATGCAACAAGATGGTGGATACATGTGGATACCACTAACCGGCCAACTTCACGTCTTCCGACTATGGACAATATGGTCCTCCCTATTTGGATCGCTTGCCGTCAACAAAATGTGCACAAAACTCATGAGATTCTTCAGTTCAAATCAGAATGATCAGAATCAAAATGCGAAGCTTTGGGTTTCTGAAAATGTGTAAGATTTGTAACCCCCATAGAAGTCATGTCCATCCTTGCAGCCAAAGCAGCTGTGGATTCTGCTGAAATGGTGCACCCTGGCATGGACCCTGGCATGGACCCTGGGGCCTTAGTTTGATCATGTCCCACATATCACGGCAACACACTGCAACACTTGACAGGCACGCGGCATGCTGACATAGTGCATCCTGTGATTTCTGGCATCAGATCTACAAGATCTACATGCAATCTGCAACTGAGATGCCCGAGAAACTGTTGATTCATTGGCATTCCATTCATCCTGAGCCAAACAATCAGAGGATATCAGAGGAATCCAGGAAGGGTCTGAAACATTCTGAAACCTCACCAAGTCGATTCAAGTGGGACATATCGCCCTGGTCGTTCTTGCACAGTAAGATTCG